TCAAGTGGAAGAGATGTAAGTCTCTTCAAGGTTCAAAGTATCGACACGTATMAGCCCGTATTTGCCAATACGTATCGTGCCGGTGGCTTCCCGATATGTCCCTATAGGGATTGTATCGGGTCAGCCACTGATTCAGAGGATAGCCAGGCCTTAAACTCTAAACCAATTTTGAAAAAATAAATAAATAAAACATAAAAAAAAAAGCACCAACACGGGCCGTTACGCCAATATGGGTCTCTTTACTTCGGTGACTGGAGTAGGAAACCATGTTTGAGTCAAACACATCCTGATCCGGTTTAGTGGTCCTGAATCTTCCGCCATTAACGTGCCATCCACGTTACTTGTCAACTACGTTATACATATATATATACATCAATGAATAAACCATGCGCCTCATTGCCTTCTTTATCAACATGCATGCACCTGTGTTTATGCTTAATAACCATTCCTTCTATTACCTACTACCTACCCTCTCTAACCTATGAAAAGGAAGATAACAATAAAAATACCACTACAGCTCGCTCTCGCTCTCTCTCTCTCAATTTGAAGTCACAAATCCCAACACAAAGTTTCTATCCAAACATTACAAGGACCACCATTAATCTCTCTCTCTCTCAATTGGGGATTTGAAGTCACAAATCCCCAATACAGTTTTTATCCAAACGTTACAAGGACCACCATTAATCTCTCTCCCTTCCCCAGAAATACATGGGTAATAACACCAATATTAATGAAAAATTAATTAATTTGATGAGATAATTAAACAATTTTTTTTGGTGGAGTTGTTGTAGGGACTTAATTTTATGTTTTATAATATATATATATATATATAGTGTTCTTTTTGTCATATTGGAGAGACATGGTTAAAATAAATTATCTTTTGGGATGAATGCACATGATCACATAAACCAGCTACAGTTTCAAACAAAGCTCCACAGCTATTTAAGAGAAATAGTTTATAGCATTCAWCTAGCTTACTTAATCCTTTGATATTCAACTGATCATCCTTCCCATCATAAACAAATTAAAGGAAAACGTACATGAGTGGCCACTAAACCATGACCCAAATATCACTTTTGACACGTGGCGAGATTCTACTTGTCGGCCGTCGCTTGCTACCTCACCATGTTCCTTTCCTCTACCTAACTTACGAGTTATGTCACTGATTCAAGCTCCCCTTTTACACTTCTCTCGTTTAATTATTCTTGCCTGTTTTATCCATCACTCAGATGGTTTTGATAATCAATTGGGACAACACTGATAATTATGTTTTATTAAAGTAGCCGGAAAGTGCCCAATATGAATTGTATAAAAAGGTCATCAGTTATGTTGGTGGGGATGATGATGATACCCAATTAGGAGATGAACAAAGACAAGTTAGTTTTCACAGGATAAGTTTTTTTAATCTATCTTCAAAAGGGTTTGCTGGTTTGCTAAGAATACATGGGTGTAATTTTATGCTGGGAAATTTCTGTGRATCCCTCTGAATTTCCATGAATACCAGTTGATTGGTTATCAGTTTTTTAGGTATCTTACATATTATATCACATTTGTGTTTCAACACCCGCAGAAAAAACTGCATGAAACAGACCTTGAAAACAGCACAAAGCGAAGCGGACCTCTTTCATTTCTGTCCACTATTAATACCATGTGCAATGTATGTGCCTACCAATTTTATATAATATATGTATATGTATATGCATATAGATGGTCCTTTTAACTTGTCATTTGGAGAATTGTGTAAAAACAGTTTTAGGGTTAATAGATTATGATGATGCTGATGGGAAGTGATCATTTGACCTCATTTAGTGGATGTGGGAGAAATTTTGCAGGGAAGGTAGATTCTATTCCTTGACAGTCTTGTGTTTTGAGCCAGATAGACAGGAGAGTAAGTGGTGTAAAATTAAAGTAAGAAAATAGCATTGAATAAGAAGGATTCCACTACTTTGAGGCTAGATTCTTTCACCTTTTTACAATCTTCTGGTATTTTTTTTCCAACTTTTGTGTGGTTCATATTAGAATATGACTTATGTGCACTATAACCCTAAGAGAAAAAGCATGGAGAGAGAGAGAGAGAGACAGTCAAAATCCAAAGGTGGTTGTACCTGACATGAAGAACCCCTTGCTTTGCATTATGATATTCCTTTTTTCAAGTTGCTAAAAGAGTAATTGTTTATACAGAGAATGCAATGAAACTTTAAAGAAAAGACTTAATGGTAGTTGGGAAGGTTAAGAAGCCAACATCTTGGAACTGTTAACAAAGAATATGACAACAACAAAAGGAAATTAGCAGTGCAGTTTCATTAGCCACACATACATATTTATGTATGTGAAGGATGTCTTTCTTTTCCTCTTGGATTGATAATCCAACCATTTTATATGACTCTATCGTTTTCATGTCCTAATTGCACCATCTTGATCAATATATAGGATTAAGCTCATGGAATCAGGGTTGACTTCTGGACTAATGATTCAAGTGGGGTCCATCAAGTGGGCAATAGAGAGCCTGGAATGTGAATCCCCACTCTCCAATCCAACATTCTACTCCTAGATACTGCAATTGTGTGTAGCCCACATTCTATTCTAGTGGGATAAACATCTACAAAGAGGGATTAGAGAGAGAGATGGCCAATCACCCAAAATCCTTACCTCACTGGACTGTCCAGAAACAGAGAGTCCACCACAGACAACACAATAGAAAATAGCAGGCCAGGGCTGACCTGATCTGTCATCTAATTGTTGGTCATGTCTTCCACATCTGCAGTGATTATAATATGTGATTTTCTTCTCTATGAAAACAAATCTCTAATGGGTATGATGTGGGAACAAGACCCTTAAATGGGTTTCTAAGCCTAACTGGAAACCAATTCAAACCATACAGCTAAACCAGTAAAACTTAAATGCCGGATCTATGATTAGGGCATCTTGTCTCTGACTTTCTTGCCTCTATTAAAGACATCACACTAGTACTGGACTGCACCATGGTAAAAAGTCCATATACAACAAATCAGTACAACTCGGTTTCAAGAATGAAAATTCAACAAATTCAGTCAGACATACATGATATGATAGAAAGAGGCCACTTAAAAATGTAGTTTAATAAAAAATGGAACAATAAGTTTGGTATGATTTATTTGTAAATATATGTATAATATATTAAAATCCATACTATTCATGTATATTATATGTTTTATATCAAAATTCCACAATTTTATGTATCTTTGAATAATGTCACTTTAAATCACTTTAAATTTTATGCATATTTACCATATACTACACTGAGTTACCCAACTCGGTCGATCGAGGTTCAGGGACACTGCTGCATGGTAAAGGCACTCTCATCTCTTTGTTTTATCCTAAAATGTTTTAGAAATTCAGAAGCCCAAGACATGGAAAGGAACAAAGAATTGATAATAGGAGGGAAATGACAAAACGGCTAAATAAGAATAAAGGCTTCTGGTTACATACTAATAACAAAGCAGGCAGCTAACAACCTAGAATAGTTGTGGCTTAGCAAGCGCCATGTGCAACATTGATCAAGTAACAAAGTTAAAATACTGCACTGATGGTTAAAACTGTTTATGGGAAACTAAACTCTCTCTCTCTCTCTCTCTCTCTCTCTCTCTCTCTCTCTCTCTCTCTCTCTGCAGGTTAATGATAATTGTGTACTGCCATTTCTCAATACACCTCCTCAATTTGGTGGAAGGAAGCCATGCTTTGAATTCTTTCTGCACCCAAGAAGTGAAATGCTTTGACTTTGAGCTATTCTTTGAAAATGACTGGGAATCAGTTCAACCATTGATGCCAATTGTAATCATTTGAGTCCAAGTTCTCAAGGTTGAATCATAAATGGTACATCAGTTTTTCTCCTCTCAACTTTTCACGCTTGCCTTCCTAAGTTCTAGAGGCTTAAAGTGTCCTCCTACCTTTCTCAATGGGCATTTAAGAAGCCAGAAGAGAAGCTAAATAATGTATACCTGCATTGATGGATTTGACCATTATTTTAGTATTAGATCTACAAAGACAACCACAATTTCTTCAATCTTACAAGACAGGTCTGTTCCAAAATTTGTCTTAAGGCTCATTCAAAACTGATGATAATGTTTATTATTCTGATGATGATGATGATGATGGTTTTGTCAATTAATCTTGGTCCCTCTGTATCAGCTTTGGAATGATTAAAAAAAACAAGAAAATATACAGTGGTTATCACACTGGAGATCATGGGATCCACACATATATTTTGCATTGAGAGTATGAACTTTTGTACAATAAATATGAAAGTAAATTTAATTGACTTCATATTTCATGGCAGAGAAGCTGTTAGTTTGTCTTAATCAAGCTTACTGTACATGTCGTCCATATAAGCTCATTTTCTTCTTAATATTAATTTTGTTTAGATGGATGATGAGGCTCAAATATAAGAAAGGCCTAGCACCAGCACATTATTAATACATATTAGAATTCCTGATTATTTTATGCTATTTTCAATCACCTACAGTGCCTTCTTACGCAATGTCGGTTCAGTTAAACATTTCTTTTTGATGGAAATGGTACTGGAAATAATACTAGTGATCAGATAGAAATCAGAAATTCTCATATTAACAGGTCAATTGGCTTATTAAATTCAATCCTGGAAGAAGAAAAGTGAGAAAAGGACATTTGAGGTGTTAGAGAAAATCACATAATCACAGTAAAGTAGACCACAAAAAGCCTTAAAAGCAGAGTTGATTCTGAGGCTTGGTGATCTTCTAGTCCCTGTCATGGAAGAATTATCAAACAGACCCATCTGAGAGATCAAAAGACAGTTATGTCCAACAGTCCAAGAGTCTGAGCTGTCCAACTTGGATTGGTTCTCATTGGGACATTGGAAGAGCTGGAATGTGGTCTGCTTTTTCTTTTTTAATTAGAGAGATCCAAGGCAGAAGATAAACTAATTAAGCTTTAGTAATACTAAAGTGGGTCCTCAAATTTATCAATTATAGGCCTAATAGATACCTGTCACATGAGATGTGGTGAGAGAGCTCCTAAGCTAAATATTTATAGCACACAGCCTTCTTTTTGCAGCATTTCTGTCTCTCTTTTGCTTCTTCTCAAATCCTTCAGTTGGTGTGGAGGATCAGTTTCCCAAGATGGCAAGCTACCTACAGAATGAATTGCCATTTAATGTTCAGGGAATGGCCACCATAGCACGGTTTCTTTCACATTCAAACATGTGGGGTGAGCTGTGGGAGACTGCTTATTGTGATGGTGATGATGGTGGAGCAGGAGGAGCTTCTTCTTCGTCGTCGTTGAATCAACTCTTCTCAAGTCCTGAGTCTAGTTCCTCTGTCGATGAGGCCGTAGCTTCCGGTTTGAATAATAATAATGTTGCAGAATTCACCACCCCAATCATGGTACCCGAACAACAAATCTGTCCAATTTCATCATGTGTTACTTCTGCATCAAATTCTCTTAGCTCCCCACAGGGACACTCTGATGTCAATGGAAGCTTCAGCACTCCTGTGAATTTTATAGAATCATTCCCTGAATTAAGCCAAGCCCAAGCTTCTACAGCACCTTCACCTCCCACAGCTCCAAATTTTCCCAGCTTAAGTCTCTTCTTGCCGGAACCTGCCAGCATAGAGCCCACAACAAGCATCAGCTGCAATAACCAGAGGTCTCTACCCATGTTGTCATCGTCAAATCCATTCTATAACGTCTCAGACCTTCACCAAATTCAGCTTCAACCAGGACTTGAATGGCTCAGGATCAATCAGAGTCTCATGAGCCGTGCTTCAAAAAGCTCTGGTGACCATTTGCTTGGCGCCACCAAGACACAACCCATGAAGTACAGTGGAAGAAGGATGCAAGATCATCAACAGAAAACGTTCTCATCCCCAACTAAGCTCTACAGAGGAGTGAGGCAAAGACATTGGGGGAAGTGGGTTGCAGAGATCAGGCTACCGAGAAACAGAACAAGGGTGTGGTTGGGAACTTTTGACACAGCCGAAGATGCCGCTTTTGCCTATGACACAGCTGCTTACAGGCTAAGAGGAGAAAATGCGCATTTGAATTTTCCGGATCTAAAGCATCAACTCAAGCTAAACTCTCTGATTGGAAGCACTGCAGCTCTTCTGGAAGCAAAGCTGAAGGCTTTTTATGAAGGCATTCAACCTCAAAAGAAACCAACAAACCCACCACCATCACCACCATCCTCAGAGACACTCACATCTGAGAATACAACTGTTGATACTTTGGATCAAAAGCTATCGAGAAGGGAGTGCTCATTTGATTTGGAGAAAAGTGCTGGATCTGAAGTTGTTGAGAGCAAGAAAACTGTGGGGTTACTCTCTGATGTGGATGCTGTTCCATTAAGTAGAATGCCTTCTTTGGACATGGATATGATCTGGGATTCCCTCCCAGTTGCTGATTCATGAAAAACTCTGTTAAGTTTCAAAATTCATCTAGTTTATTGCAAAAAACAAAAAACAAAAAACAAAACAAAACAAAAAAAAAGATCTGCTGTGAATTGCAGACCCAACAGAGAGAAGTCGGGTAGATCTGCAAGTGGTTGTGTTTATATCCTAACCAACATTGGATGTTGATTACTTTTTTTTCTTTTATTCTTTATCTTCATTAATGACCTGAATCCAGATTCAGGATCTCTGCAATTCTTATCCCATATGACCTTTGTATGAATGGCTTCCTTTTGACATTTTTCAATATATATTCATGTTTCTGTTCTCTTACTAATTTTACATCATCTCATTCTTTACCAAGAAAACTCCATTTTTAGTATGGAAGAGCAACAGAAAAAGGAGAGATTCAGAATCAGAATCAGTTGTAAGCTGTAACTGACAAAATTTGAGGGTTTAGTGGGACCTGTTCCTAAGTCTTGTTCAAAGTAAACATGCTGGGTTGTGTCATCATGAGGCCCATATACAGGGGAGAGATCTGAGCAAACCCATTGGCTAGTATCTCTTTCTATGGTCTACCAATTATCAGAGCACCAAGGGAGTGGATAGGCAGAGTGACATGGGAATAAACTGATGGGAACCATCTTAGGAAACTGATTGATTGATTGTAACTCCATCCCACTTAAGAATAGACTGTTTTATTCTCTTTTAGTATGTGAAGGGACAAAAGAGAATTGATTGAATGATTATAACCTTTTGATGTGTTAAATTCTTCACCACAACGAAATATGACAAAGAGCCCAAGGAAAAATCTGTAAAAGCTGCATTTGCCATGGAGATATTGGAATTAGCAGCCTGAAACTGGGATTAGAATTGGAGCTTTGTTGCTTATATGGGCAAACTAAGAAAAAAATGGGAAGTTGGTTTAACCTAATCCTAGACCATAGTGAAGACTGAACACCCATGAAAAAACATCAACCATGAATGGGGGATAAAGAATTAAGACTATTTGATTGAATTGTATTTAACACAAGAATGGACAGGGTGGTCGTGGTCCTGCATGTGCATCAAGTGTAATAATAACATGAGGATTGCTTTAGAATAAAGCTGGCCATGAGGGTCGTGTGGGTCTATCTAGAGTCTTAAGTAGAATTATCCAAGGGATATGCTGGACTCTAGATGACTAGGGTTGCAACTGGGTGGCCCCAACTTTCATCCTATGCTATCAAAGTAATAGTGCCTAGCTAGAAGATTTGAACCAATTGATTTCTGGGTTGGGCCTGTATTGCTGTGAAAACATTTGCATATATAATTGATGTGAAGAGAATGAAGAATATCAAAGAAACCATGGTTTCATAGATTTATGTGGTTTGATCCCCATGAAATTCCACTATTTTCAATCAATCTTTAGCCATAGCAGTAAGTATTATATTGCTGAATTAGGGTTTATTATTTGTTGACACCCTAATTCAATCATAATTGATCAATCACCTCCATTTGGCCTGAACCTCTCCCCCTTCTCTTTGCTTGTGTTCTATCGTCACCTCTCTTATTACAAGACATTCTTCATCAATAATGCATTATAGATGCTCAACAGAAAGTTGTTAACTTCTTGTTGCAATTTTGCTACAGGCAATATATAGCAAGGCATAGATCATCATCAACATCATCATCTAAGCCTTGTCCCAATTATATGGGATCAGCTAAATGAATCCTGTTGTTCTGTTCTATGTCATATCCATAATTAAATTATGGGTGCTTATATTAATTCTTGTTACTTTCACGCAAGTCTTTTTTGGTCTACCCCTAACTCTTTTAATCCCTCCAACTTGTAACAAATCACGTTTTCTAATAGATATTGTAGATGGTCTTCTATGCACGTAACCAATCTATCTCAATCTACTTTATCTCATTTCATCACCTAGATGAATGGACCAAAGGTGGGTCCATGTGTTCCCATCTCCCACCCATTTATTCACATGCTAGGTTCCAACTAAGGGGAATTCTTTCAGATGAAAAGGTGAGGATCCCTTCATCTTTTTTCCTCCTTTGTTAATCAGAGAAAAAGTGAAAATTTTGACGGTTTGCATGAGCATGAGAGAGGTTCATGTYCCTAATCCAATATGTTCCCTATCAAATGGGTAGGTTAGATTGGCTGTATTATCCGAATTGGGATCTTCTCCTCACACAGGGCGCCTCACAGGCACATCTCACTATGCATGGAACATCTTCCATGAATAATAACATATAAGTGTGGGAAATGTTCCCAATGCATGGTGGGGTGTGCCAATGAGATCGGATAAAAGGAATGCAACATTACACTAGGGCATACTGAATATGGAGCAACAATAAATAAGCATTTTATTTGGGACCCACTATCCACGTGGTAACCCCTGAAGCATTTAGTCTGGATCTTTTATTTGGTTTAGGGGGACCAAAGTATGTTTCATTTGTAAGGAGGCTCTGTTTCGCTTGTAGTGTAATTTTATTTGTACCGGTACAAATGCATGAGAGTGCAAAATAAGAGCAAATTCTGGTAGGTTTTATTTACTTTGCTTCAGTTTTTATTTTACTTTATCTTCACTGCAAACAAACAAAATAAGGTAAAAATTAAAACAAAAGTAAACCAGAACTTACGCTCAAGTCATTTGCATTCACATATTTTTGCACCAGGGTAGATGAAATTGCACTGCGAATGAATCAACCCTAAGCAATACACCTTGTCTAGAAGAATGGATGGGGCCAATATTAATATGACACCTTAAAAATCTCTGTGCTTGGGTTTTGGAGTTAGGAAAACAAAATTTGATTCGATTCATGATTAAAGGATATGGCCACTCCTTGGTTTGGCCTCCAACCTGCTCAATTTTCATCCCTTAGGCTGTGTTTGGTTGCTGTGCAATTTTATTTGCACTAGTATAAATACATAGGAGTGCAAATGTAACAAATGCAAATTCTTGTTTTGGATTTTACTTTATTCTGCTTCATGTCTTAATTTACTTCATTTGTACTGCAATCAAACAAAACAAGCCAAAATTTGAAATAAAAATATGTCAGAATTTACACTCAAATCATTTGCACTGCCATGGTTTTGCTCCAGTGCAAATTTATTTACATTGCAACCAAACACAGCCTTAGGCTCTATTTGGAAAGAATACAAATACAAATCTGTGGAGTATAAAACCTTGTATTTTGTATTATTTTGTATGTATTTGTACTGTACATATTTGTATTTGTACTCCTTCCAAACTAAGCCTTAATAATGGTCGGATCAAATGGAAATCAGGTTTTATCCTTGCAAAATTGGATCTGTCCTCACACCATCCTTGCAACACTTGTGGACTTGCATTGGGAACATTTTCATACTTGTATGTGAGAACGGTGTGAGTACCAAACTTTGTGAAGGCTTGGAGGAAATCGAGGTAAGGTAGACCGGCAAAGCCTAGTTTGTTACATATTGAACCTCAATCTATTAACCGAGCCTAGCTAGTAGATAATTTGGATTAACTGAACATGATTGTTGTTTAGTTGGCTGTGAAACCAATGATAATGTTCCATGACATTAACAATTTTATGGGCCCCACTGTAAAAGGTGTAGGTCCCATATATTTTTATTATTGGCGTAGAACTTAATCATTGCATGGTTCCATAACCTGCTGAACAGCCATAGCGTTCAACCAATCCTTGCTCGCTAGTAGCTAGTATTAGGTTTAATTTATTGGGATGGGCTGACCAGCCTTTATTAGGGCTGCAAGTCAGGTCGGTTGAAGCCAACCCTAGCCCAACCCTAAGTTCTAAACCCCCAACCTTCAACCTGACCTATCCAACCCTAACCCTAACCCTAACCCAACCCAACATTCTTCTCATCCCTAAAAATCTCGTACAAACTTCTTAGTCTCAGATCTTAACTCAACTTTTACTACATATATTAAACGTACATTTTATTAGTATTTGTTTGTTGATGTTTTTATTGGTTCTTTAAGTATAAAATTTAGAAAAAAAAGTGTTTGAAATGAGTATAGTTTACTATGAATTATGACTTATAATAGATTTTTTATGCGCAACAAGTTATGGGTGGCAACAACAGAGAGGAGATAAAGAATAAAATATTCAAAAAAACATAAAAATGTTATTAGGGTTTTAACATTTCCCATTAGGATTAAGTGAAATTATTATCTTAAAAAAAATGATAGTATGTACTGGGGGTTTTAACATCTAAATAAATCAATGTTACGATATATCATACATATAACATATATTTATATATGATATATACTATAGAGTTGGGTTCGGGTTGACTAACCCAATCCAAAATAAARTCAGGCACTGATGTCTTTAGAGTTTAGACACAAGACAAGACTAGTTGCTAGATGAGTCTGGAATAGGTCGCCACAACCTATCATGGATCCCATGTTTTAGCAGAAATGCGGAATTTATATGGTCTCCCCATACAGTGTGCCCCATACATTGATACACAGCACACACCCCACAATACATCCCAACCATGCATTAGGAACGTCTCCCTATGATAAATGGCAAATAGGGAATATGTTTTCGGTACATCTCAATCGTCCATTAGGAACATCTCCTTATGTTTGGATAAGTCTTTTTAATATATTTTTGTATTTCAAGAGAACAGGTCATGCTAGCCTAACACGATGGTCCGTGCCATGCTGGGCCTAGGGTTTTAGGTCCACAGGTCGGGCCATGCCTCCCGTGGCCTGGATGACGGCACGACCCAACACGACCCATTTATACTATTTATATATTTATATATAATATATAATATATTATATAAATTATAATTATATAATAATATATAGTATATAATATATTAATAAAATAAACAATTGTCTTCAATTTTATTATACTAATTTATTTAATTATTGTATATATAAGCAATTATATACATCAAAATTCATATAAAATTAAAATTTTAAGTTTTTTTTTCATTTTTTTTAAATAAATAGGCAAAAATAGCTTTGGCCCAGTCCATGGCTCGGCTTGGGCCAAGGCTTGACCCGGCCCGCAGCACGGCACAGGCCCACACAGGCTTGGGCCATGGGCTGTGCTGGGCCGACCCCCAAACTTTTAACTGGGAGGGTGGGACGGCCCGTGACAGCCCACAGGCCAGCACGGCATGGCTCGCACTTTGCACGGACCACCTGCGGGCCGTGCTATGCAAATCCGGCATGACCCACTTTACACCTCTAGGAATCAATGTGAAAACAGTGTTTGGCACCGTGTTTTTTTGGAGAAACAGTCAAAAAACGTTTTTACCTCGGAATTCCCAATTTCACATTTTCAGCAGAAAACACCTTTTTGTCGTTTTCTTGAATCGGTGGCAATCCGACGTGGTTCCAGGTATAATCCAACGTGGCAACTTGCCACGTCGGAATAATAATTGATTCAGTGCTTCGCATGTGCACCGGAGAGTTGAATACACCCGAAGGCAACAAAAACCCCATTCGATTTCAGCTTAACCCCTTCCTCTTCTTGCAGCCGTCGAGGGTTCCTCCCGTCTCCGTCGTCGGTTCCAATGAGTGCTACAGTATCTTCTTCACTTTCTCTCAAACCAAACGGAGCCTTAGGGTCTTCTTCTATCTTCCATCAGCAAGAAAACGGGAGTTATTCCTCAGGGTCTTCTTGCTGTTTTCTTCACCAAGGTAAACACACTTCCTTTTTGTTTTCTTCTTGCCGTTGTATTCTCGATTTGCTGTTTTCTTCTCTCTCCTCCCGTTCTACACCAGTTACGTCATTTTTTTCCGGATATTTTGATACTGTTGGATTAGACTAATTTTGTGCAGCATATGCATATGGGTTATATGGGATCATTTTAGAGACACGTGCCACAAAGAAACGCCATGCTCCCAAATGTGTTTTTTAGAAAAACGTTTTTTCTTGCTGATGTGGCATGAAACAGAACAAACTGAGATTTCCTGAGAAACGGATTTTCTGATAATATAATCGCTTGAAAATCGCACTAGTGCTAAACAACTACTAAGTTTGAGGTTTTGCAATGCCATGATATCATGAAACAGATATTAGTGTAATAAAGTATGGAAGGTTTTATACTCTTTATTTTTGTGAGTGGTGTGGTAAGTGAAAGGAATGGTAGGATCCATCGTATGGACGACAAAACTGTTGCGGAATGGGTGGGCGAATTTCAAAAATTTCCTACCTTCCTTCCAATTGGGAATCGTATTCCCTAATTTTAGAATTAAAATTCAAGGATCCTACTTGAACCAAACCAGACCAGATTTGAACCAAAAGAGAAGGAAGGGATTATACCTGATCCAGAGATGCAGTATCTCCCAAAGTTGGTGTTCACACCCAAAGAAGATCCCAATATCAGCTCCCACTGAAGATGACACAGTGAGGATGGAGCCGAACCAACAGTGTTCGTCCCACAAATCAGGATCTTCTGAAGAACTCGATGGAAGATTGTGAGCACCACACGTACAATCAAGAACCTTTCTTGATTTTCTCAAATTGAGAACTCGAACTAGCAGAAAGGTGGCGGCTATTGCTGGAGGAGAATGCTAGAGAAGAAGATGGCGAACTGCTATTTTCCTCTCTAGGGTTTCTGAGATCTAATCTTCAAAATGCATGTGGGTTATCTACGAAATCCCTTGGGTTCGAATTCTTGTAATTCGAAATTAGGGTTTTTCCTCCTCTTTCTTAGTGATTAAGAAAGCCTCTTAATCATATCAAGAGTTGCCCTTATCCAAATCTGTATTTGGATTAGGACTCTTCTTAATCTCATCTGCAGATTAGATCAGCTTTTGGGCTTAACCTAATCTCAGATCCGCCCCCTTAAGTGACTGATCAAATCAGCCCAGATCGAAATGGGCTTTAGGCCCATTAAGTAATGAGTGCTCAATAGTCTCCCAAACT